GCAGGTGAGGAGAGCCGGAGGCTGGGCTCACGCAGGGCCCTCAGGGGTGAACTTCACAAAGGCGATGGCTGCCAGTTCCTTACAAAACTCCTCCAGCACCACCACTCCCTGGAAGAGGGTCATGTGATCGATCCTGCCAGGGAACCAAAGCAAATGCTGAGGAGTGCTCTGCACAGGGGGGAGAAGCTGGCTCCCTTGCCTGGAGAGCAGGATGTTCCACCACCCCAACAGATCCCATGCAGAAGGAGAAGGGTGGGAGCCAGTGCCTCAGCTTAACACAGCTTGGGGCTTGTTGTGTGGAGCACAAGCACTGGGCAGGAGTGTTACCAAACAATCTTGAGGCTGCTCGTACTTAATTCCCTGCTACCCCAATGTATCAAGCACACTGGAGTGAGGCCCTGTGCTGAGATGAGGGGAGTTTCCCTGGTGGTTAATGTCTGCTGAGACAGATATTGTGTTCCCCTAGTTACACATGCTGCAGGGCACCAGTTGATGTAGCCCAATACAAGTACAAGCACTTACTGCTCTTCAGGGACCAGCCCCATTAACTGTCTCCGGACCAGCAGCAGCTTGGCTGGGAACTGAGACACCCGCTGGATTCTCTGCATCAGATCTCCGATCACCTAGGGAGGAGGTGAGAATTAGCTCCCTGCAGGTGGAGAGGTGCCCCCCAGCTCTGGGTTCGGAGCACTCCATACATACAGCCTTGCCCTGAGTCCAGAACTCTACTCTGGGCCCACTCAGGCCTGGTCTACACTAACCCCCCAATTCGAACTAAGGTACGCAACTTCACGTAGCTGAAGTTCGAAGTACCTTAGTTCGAACTTACCTCGGTCCAGACGCGGCAGGCAGGCTCCCCCGTTGACTCCGCGGTACTCCTCTCGCCGAGCAGGAGTACCGCAGTCGACGGCGAGCACTTCCAGGTTCGACTTATCTCGTCCAGACAAGACGCGATAAGTCGAACCCAGAAGTTCGATTGCTTGCCACCGAACTAGCGGCTGGGTATAGACGTACCCTCAGCCCCGGGGGGCGGCGCTTTGGGGGTGGGGGGGTTTTTTTTTGTGTTTTCTTGTTCCCCTCCCCCCCCCCCCAAGTTGCACACTAACATCTACATGAACCCCTATGCCCCACCAAGGACTTGGCATAGGGAGAAGTTACCCTGATGAGTACAGAGAAGAGCGTCCTGCAGCCAGGAGCCAGGTTCAGGTAGGGGTCCAGGAGGTATTCGTGGAGGTGCGGGTGCGGGAAGAGGGCCAGGCGGGACAGCACTGATGTCATTTGTAGGTTCAGTCCGTAGGGCTGCGGAACATAGACAAAATATGAGATCGCTTCCTTGAAGTGCCTTCGCAGAGGCAGTGGTTCTCAAAGTTTTGTACTGGTGATCCCCCCTTAAATATATATAAAAAGTGGTTTTAATTTATAACACTATTATAAATGCTGGAGGCGAAGTGGGGTTTGGGGTGGAGGCTGCCAGCTCACAACCCCCCCCCAAGTAATTACCTCGTGACCCCCCCAGTTTGAGAACCCCTGCAGTAGGGGCAGCCTGGCTTGGACTCTGCCTTTGGTTCGTGTCCCTCTTATTCATTTAAAAATAGGACGAGAGCCTGAAACCATCTTCCAGTGAGGCGGATCTCTGGTATTACAGGAGCACCCACAAACCCCAATCAGGATCAGGACCTACTCCAAAGAGCTTACAGTCTTTGATGGTGACTTGTGTTCCTGTTGGACTATGCTCATGGGGGCAGCTATCTGCTTTTGCAGGCCACCTGCAAGGTTACAGAAGTCTCAGTAACAAAGCTGTTACAGCTAGACAGGTCTACAAAGCTGGACACAATGTATTTCCCTGTTGAGGCTCAGTTTCAATTCAATAGTTGCATTTCCCCACCGACTTGGCTGAAGCCTTGGGGTGGAATGGAGATCTGGGAGGATCAAGGATCGCAGTCCTGTGTTGTGGTCACTAGCCGATACCTTTGTATCCTACAAAATGGCTAGGTGCTCATTGGTTACCCCAAAGAGGAAGCCCTACCTCCAGCAGAGTAAAGCAGAGAGTGCTGCCACTACAGCTCCCCGATCCCCCAAACAAGGCTGCAGTTTTCACCCTACCTGATCCAGGATCCGTGTCATACGGTCAAACAGCACCTTCAGGAAGTGGCCCTCATAAAACGCTGCTTGTGGGTCACAGGGCTCCAGAGGTTTTGGTGCCTGAGGCCAATTCCATGACGCTATGTTAACAGAGCATTCCTGAAACTGATAGAAGAAGCGTGAGGGGCCATGAAGGAGGACAAAGTGCTCTCTGCAATTCTGAGCAGACTTCAAATGTGCTCTTAACCCTAAAACTAGGCTGAACATGGCCAGCAGCCCAAACTGCTGGGTGTGGGAGGCAGACAGGTGCACTGGCAAAGCAATTGGCAATACAGCTGGCACTGTTAAAGATCAAAGGCATTTTATATCTCCACTTGGAATGGGACAGGGAAGCCCCGGCTGAGGGGGAAAAGAAAGACTTTGAAACCCTACCGGCCACCCTGTCTGAGCAGTGGGTATGCCCAATCTCAGCCAGGTCTGGCACAGACGGGGGGCAGAGTGAGTGCTGTGTGTGCCAGGTAGGATAGTCCTGATGGGAAGGGAGCTGTGAGACGGGAGTAGGGGCAGCAAAGAATAAGGGCATGGGGACCCCATCAATGACCTACCAGCCTTAAGGCATCGTGCACATAGGTATCGTATCCTGCCTCCTCCAGGTAGGAGGAGGTCTTTGCCTCATCAGGAACTAGGCCCAGGAAACTGAAAGAGAGAAGCCAACAGGAGCTGGTACTCTACACAAATCTCCCCCATGCTGATGTTGCCCAGGCCCAGGGGGGAAAGGAGTGAATGCAGTAGATGCAGAATGTGCCTGGCCTATTGGGACTGATATCCCAAGCTCCTAATGTGGTCTCCCCAATAAGGCACTTAACTTTCCAGCCATCGCACAGGCTCCTTCCTGACCCTTACTGCAGGCACCACCGTACCCCATGAAACCTACCATCAGATTACCCTGCTGTCATTCCTTGGGTTACTGCTGGTCGTGAAGCTACCCAGCCACAGGCTTTGAAGCCGTGGTGAACTGCGCAGGCTAAGTAAGATGTCCCAAGCTTTCTAGTGGGGCTGGATAGCCAATGCCCATTAGCTTTAGGCTAGTGAAAGCTGGAGGGCTGGTCTCCTGGTAACAATGTACCAGAAAAACACTGTCTGGAGATGGGATGCCCAACAATGAGCAAGTGTGGGGTCTTCCTTTGCAGTTCAAAGTAATAGCCCAATGTATAAGCCGGAGGCTTAGATGGGCCCCTGGCATGGCTACTAATATGGGAAAGGGCCTGGGAGACAGAGCTCTAGCCTGTTATGGAAGGCTTCTGGGTAGGGCAGGATGCAAGCTGACCAAAACTCAGGGAGTTGGGTTTGCCAGAAGTTTTGGTATTTTTTAACTTGCTTTCATTCCAAACAGCAAAATAGGCTGTTCCTGAAATGAACTATGTGAAATTGACATTCAGAGACTAGCATTTTCACTTAGCTGCTGTGGGGCAGGGATCCTAGCAGACCCCCCAGCCCAGGCATGTTCCCTGGAGCAGGGAGCCTACCAGTCCACAGAGCCCTTGCTGGAGCAGGGGCTCCCAGAGTGGGGATTCACCCAGTCCTCACAGCCTGCGCTGCCGTGGAATTGCACTGAGTTCTTCTCTACCTGCCCTTCATGCATCTGGGTTCCCCAAAGCCACCCCACCCTTCTGGCTCGATCAGAGCCATGAGCTAGCCTGTGGAGGGGAGGCAAAGATGTGCTGGACATTGGATGCATGGTCCAACATTCGTGATTCTTAGCCCCCACAGCCCAAGGGAAAGCCCTACCTGAGAACAATCTCATTCACATCTGTCTTCTCATTAGGCCTGGCAGGCCCCCGGGGGGAGGATGCCATTGGCTTTTTACATGTCCGTAAGCCTGTATCTGGAAATTCATCGGTGAAATAGGGATCTTCCTCCAGCTCCCTGCAAGGCCAGGAACAGGCATTACATTGCAGCCCCAGCTTGTGCCCACCAGGTTCTGCGCTTCCCATTTCTGTCCACTTACAGTGTGTCCTCGTAATGCTCCTGCTCGTGGGTGCTCCGCTCCTCCTGCCCCGGCTGGCTGCGCAGGATGTAGCTCCGCTCCTCCAGGTTTCTCAGCACTAGGCTGTATACAATGTGCTCATGGGGTTTCCGGAGCAGCTCCTCAAACAGCCTCAGGGTAGCGAGGCTGATCTACAGGGACAGAATCATGGGACAAGTCTTTAAAACTCCCCTGAAAAGCATTTGCCACTAAAACGCAGCCATTCTATCCCAGCAGCTAGGAAGCCCAGCACTCCCTGCAGGGCCATCTCAGACCATAATCCCTTCCAGGGTTGATACATGGAGTTCCCAGGCAGTTAGCTGGGGGTGGGTCTTTCAGAGGAGACCTTAAAAACAAGGGATCCTGTCTGCTTGGTGAGGACATTAAAGATTTCATAGCATGGCTGACAGGAGCAGGGGTTTGCCCCAGCATTCTACTGTTGTACAGCATGCAATGTGCAGGGGGGCTGAACCCCTAGAGGTGGCTGCATTCCAGGGGTGCTGTAAATCTGGAGTGTTTGAAGTGGTTTGGGATCCTTCTAGATGAGCGATACTGCATCAGTTATTAATATCCCAAAGCACTTTACAAATTCTACAGGGATCACTTCATCCAGCACTGAGATGGAGCCACCGCACAGCAACACTGCCTGACTGCTGAGGGCCGAGAGTGAAAAATCCTGTATCTGACAAACTGCCTGGGGAATTTAAGGAGACCGAATGCAATGACCTGGCCTGGAACTAAGGCAGGACACCTCAACTCTTACCAGGGTGCCACAGCATCACTAATGATCTCAAGGGAGCAGGGCCTTAGGTCTGGAAATGGTCCAGAAGGAAGAGCAGCTTCCCCCATTGAAATTCCAAGAGGGAGATTAGCTAGTAAAAGCTGAGTCTGGGGTCCCACCGGAGAGGGAAGAGGAGGGGGGCAGAGCCATGGGAGGCTGCAGGTGGCAACTCTGCATGCAGACACAACCTCACCTCATCAGACAGGTGGTTGCAGTGCTCTATCAGCTGAGAGCGCAGGAGGTGCTGCTGTGGAGAGTCAGTGATGGCTTCTGGCTGCCTCTCTGTGCCCAGCAGGAATGTCACCAGTTCCTGGAGCAGGGCAGGAGCGCTGATCTGCCTCACCATGGCTGTCAGCATTGCGGTAGAGGTGAGGATGCCAAGTTCAGACCTGCCAAATAATGGCGGAGAGAAAGTAGATACTGCTGCTCATCTCCATGCAGCTGCTCAGAGCACACATGCAGCACAGTGAGCCGTGTGCTCTAAAGGAAATATCTCCACCCAAGGACCTCTAGGGACTTTACAAATAAAGCTCTATACCCACCCACCCCCTGTGATGGGCCAGTAGCACCGTCCCCTTTGATGGATGGGAAAACCAAATCACGGAGACAGGAAATGACAGAGCTGGGAACAGAACCCTGGACTCCACCCGCGCTCCTCATTTTTTGCTCTGACCCTAAGATGTCACTGCCTCCGGGACACTAAGAGCAATGTGAAAATAATGCAGTGTGATATCTGGAAAGCCACCTATTCCAGCTCACGAAGAGAAAGTCTCTCTAGAGATGCGTATGGACCACAGCAGCGGACGGAGGGCGCATGAAAAGGGTCAAGGCAATACCAAAGCCAGAGGCTAGACTGGGCAGTCCAGGTGTAATGAGTTTGGGAGTTTACTATGCAGGGATAGAAGAAAGTCCAAAATAATACTGAAGGCCTGGAAATGCAGAGCGAAGTGTGAAACTCCATCTTGTCAGGGGCCAGTTCTGCTCCTGCCTTTGGAGGGGCCCTGAGCAGCGGCACTGGCTCTATGAGCTGCAGGAGAAGGCTTTAGAACTGACCACTGGCCTCAGCACTACCCTATCTTAGGGTGGATAAAATAAGGCGCATCGCTTTGAATGACAGCTAAAGGCATTAGAAAACTGTGCCAAAACCACTCCCTGCAACAGAGGAGATCTGATTCTTCCCTTAATCCATTTATTTTACACCCCTGCCTCGTCTCCAGCATGCTCAGATGTTCCCGCCTTTCCCTCTATTGAACTTTCTCTGCTTCCCAGACTCAAATTCCCCAGCTTGGCAGACCAGGTTAGAATCCCTCTGGTGGAATGTTCCATGCTGCAGGCAGGGGTTTCGCTTTTACACTGAAGTGTAGGAAGAGGATTTTTTTGTTTTGTTTTGTTTAAAGACAGACTAACTTCCACAAAAGTTTGGATGGGACGCATGTGGCCGGGGAGCTGCCTCCTTGCGGGAGTACCATGCACCCCTCTTATCTACCACACCTGCCATCCCAGGATCGCAAAGCACTTTTCCAATGGGAATTATTTGAGCCTCACCAGCCTGAATGCAGCATTAACTCCATTCTACAGATGGGGAAACTGAGGCACCAAAGCAGTGACTCATTTAACGCCAGCTGCTGCCATAGCCAGAAACAGAACTGAGGTCCTGACTCCCAAATCCCTACTTTCACCACAAGACTAACCCACTTCCCTCCCTCTCATGCCTGGTGTGGGTGCCAGACCAGCTCAGCCTCACACCATGGACATCCCCCCCCCACCCCAGTTTACACAGGAAGCTGGTGAACAGCCGGTTGGCCCCTCAGCCTGTGTGACACGTGTACTCACATCTGCAAGAGCTGTGGCTGCAGAATCCCCTGGAAGAGCTTTTCACCAATGGCCTCCGTTACAGCATCTGCAACTACCTGATGGTCACAAAGAGAGAGTCAGTAACGAGCTACCAGCTGCCTGATAGTCCTACGACTCCCCTAGTTCCTTCCTGCATGACAAGAGCAGAGACTCTGCTGCTCCTTAAAGTTTCTCTCGGCGTGGTGGGGTCACTGACGTACATGGGGAGTGACTGCCACGTCACTGTTCCTTGGCCAGGGCTGACACATGCTATGTGGTTCTTGCACACAAAGACTCTGGAACCAAGTGACCCAGGCACTCCTATTAAAGGAAAGCATTTCCTGGTAGCTAGAAGATGGAGACAGAACATGCTGGAGTCTTCTTAAATGAAAGAAACCACTAGACTGGGGTCATCCAGGATGGCTCCCACCCTTTAACACGTCCCCGTAGGGACAAAATAATCCTGTTGTGACCTTAGCAAGTGCATGTTGTCATCTTGCAGCTGTGTGTGGCAATAATGCATCATAGTGATCTTCACAATATCACACAAGGATTGCAATTTCATCGTACTCTGATGCAGTTTCACAGAGATCTTCAGCTGTCTGGCAAGCTGGACTCACAGACAGGCCTGATGAAATTGAGGCTGTCCTAACACACTTCAGGACACATGGCAAACTCAAAATCCAAGCCACAAAAGCCAGGATGCAATAGTCCAGGAGCCACTGGAGTTGGTGGATCTCAAAAAGGCACCATAGGTGTCTTCTCCAAGGAGAATTTTAGCCATAAGACAAGACACAGTTTGGTTCCCAATGGCCCATCTACCATCACATCCGTGGCTCGTAAGTCCATTAGTAGTGGCCTAATGAGGTTGTCTACTAAATACAGGAGGAAAACAGGTGGCCTGGCCTGAGTTCTAGCAGAGATATGAGTGAGGCTGGCTTACGCTGCAGCAGTCTAACTCCACTGCCAGCAGCTCATCAGGTAAAGGGCACAAGATGTTTAGCTGTAGATGGGATGAGTGTAACTCAGCCAGTTTCCAATCCATTCTTGTAAATCAGTGGCTCTTTGGCTCTGCCCGAAACAGCATCTAGGGTTGGGCTAAGACGACGAGTTAAGATTCCTTAAATATCAGGCTCCCCACATATTTAAATGTATATTTGTCTTGCTCTAGAGACTTGCACCCTCTGGGGCAGAGGAGATGGGAATGCTCATCTAAGACAACAAACAATGGGGAGGAGTCACTTGTTTCTTACCGGGTGGGCCTCTCTCACGAGGTGATCACAGTAATCTAACCAGCTAAAGAAAGCATCCAGGCTCCCCTTTCCTGGGAAGGAGGCCTCATCGGTGGAGTTATTCTGCAACCTGCAAAGAGATCCAAGGGGGGTGAAGGACACTGTAGGAATCAACTCCAAAGCATCATCCAAGGGCTATGGTACATTTTGGGGGGGGGGGGGGGGGGGGGGGGAGGAGAAGAGGCCTCCTCTCTGGAGTGACAGCAGTGAGGGAAGCTGCTAGTTCTCTCAACGTCCTCACTTGGCCCATATGGCATAGAACACCAGAGATGGAAAAGACCCGAGAGCGCAACAAGGCCAGCTGTTCTCATCCGGGGTCATGACCCACCGGGGGAGGGGGGGGAGGGGGGAGAACCACCCTGCTCTTCCCATATTGCTAAGTGGGTCCCTGTAGGGAAGAGGTTGAGGATCTCTGTTGGGCTGTACCCCCTGAGCCAGGGCAGACACCACACTGTTGCTATTCTCCAGGGACTTACAGTCCCAGCTTGAGCCATCCCATAGTCCCCCTTGGAGAGGATACCACAGCCTAGCAGGCCTCACTATGTACCCACGCCTGCGAGGTGCTCAATCCTGCCAAGGTCCATGGGAGCCGGGGTGCAGCCCCTGCAGAACAGATCTCACTAGTCTTCTCTGGGCCCAATACTTCCAGGGAGAAGGCCAAGAGTGAAAGCTGGTAGGGTTGTTCCCTTGCGGTGAGGCTGGGAATGGATTTACCCCAGGCTCTCCTTATCTTCCTACTGACCCATCAACTTCCTACCTCCAGCTGACTCTCTCTAGGGAGAGGATATCTGCAGGGTCGGCTGAAGTAGGGACGGCATTGTACAGGTCACACAGGTGATCAGTCACCAGACAGCAAAGGGCGCTGTTCTGTACCAGGTACGTGGCAGCTGCCTGCTGAGCGACACTTATGAGAAGCAGCAGGTTTTCCTGAGCTTTTAGTGCAACCCTGCTCTTCTGCCAGAGAGAGAGAGAGAGAGACAGACAGACGTTACCACAGCACCAAGCCTGTTTATTCCCCTCCCCAGCTCAAGGGTGAATGGAACACCAAGGTTGACACTAATCTGCTCCATCCCACTGACAGGCAAGATCATTCCCTACTCGCCACCTGGCACCCCTCTGCTTTCCCCCACCCCATGTCGGTACCTGGCTCTTGCACAAGTTGATTAAGGAAGTGATCAGATTGTTTTCCTTTCTCAGAGGGGAGGAGCTGGAGACAGAATTCTTTGGTTTTCTGGCCAGGCTAGTGCAGGGGGCGTCACCCATGGAACGTTCTCTGTCCTGCTCAGGAGATGCAGTCAGGGCTCCGTTGGTAGCCAAGCTCTCTCCCTGGCTGCTGCCGGCATCTCCCTGTGGGCTCCCAGTTAGAAGATTCTTTCCCTTGAGAATAAAGAGACAGGAGAGAGAGCAGTTAGCATCACAGCAATAGCGCTTCCAGCATTGACACAAACAGGACTGATCCCAGGTACACACAGCGAATACCCAGAAAGTTAGATAGGTGCAATATGTACCTGAACATACTTAGATATGTATATACTGCAAAAACACCTAGAAATGCTTAGCTAAGCAGATAATAAAACAACACAGCACATTTCAACAGAGGATCTCATAACCCTTTGCAAACATTAATCCTCACAACTCCCCGATGTGCTGTAGGGAAGTAAATATTATCCCCACTTCACAGATGGGGGAGTACAGAGAAGTGAAGAGATATGTTTAAGGTCACACAGCAGGTCCAGGGTGGTGCTAAGAAGAGAGCCCAGGAATCCCAGATCCTAGTCCTCCGCTCTAAACTGCCTGATCAATGACTATGTGGCCTTCTAGTCACAGAACAGGTACAGCAGTGACAAAGCAAGCTTCACACGTCCCATCAAGCCATCTGGGAGAGATGCATCCCCCCGACCCCCTCCCGGGAAAGGGGTGCTGAGCATCCCTGACCCATGGTCTCTTTGTTAAGACTACCAATCAAGGGGCCAATTAGTGCCAACCACTGGCTATTTTCGTGGCACGAACACCAGCTCACTGGGAACTGGACTGAGATTGACCAAACTCGCTTCACCCAGGGGCCCTCAAAACAGGTGTCAGATGGGAACTATCCAGGTCAGCACCAGCACCGGATTAGACACTTTGCCTAATTTTAAAGAAGCCAGCAAGATTTCAGCTGCAGAGGAGCTCAGCGTCATCCCTGGGCATGCAGCACTGAGGCAATGTCTGTGATATATGGAGGTGAGATTTGACAGCTTGCTATGCTGTGGAAATTGTCTGTTATTCAGACCACTGTGCAATCATACCCTAGCAGATCAGCCCATTGGTCCCTGAAGCCTGCCTCCAGCAGTGGCCAATACCTTGCTGTAAGGAAGGGATGGCATGCAGGTGCCAATGCGGACTCCTTACCTCCAGGATGTATGTGAGCAGAGCAGGATCCTGCTTGATCTTTGCACACAGAACAGCGGCAAACTGTACCTCTTCCTTCTCAGTCGCAGAGCCTAGCACATTGCTGCCGAACTGAAGGAGCTTCTGAGGAAGGACACAGGGCGGTCAGCCTTCACAGTGATAAAAGAGGGAGTAGGACTGAGCTTACATAGTGCTGAACGGGGTTTGCTGGCATCGGGGACGGGCATTCTTCCCTCCTCACTAGAAGCTGCTGGACACACTCCCCAGGAATATGTACCCGTATCAGTCGTACAGCCACTGATGTACAAAAGAGCGGGCAATAGCCCCCATTGTGGCAAAGTAACATTCAAGCAAAGTATTCATCATTGCCCTGAACCCTGTATAGTGATTGACACCACTATCAATTGGGTATCAGAACGGTCATATTTTATACCCACTCTGCACTGGTGTAACAGAGCACCAGGTGCATAGCAGTGGGGAACTGGGCCCCCCACGGGGTCTACGTTAACATCACTGCTCATCAGAAACTTAGGCCACTAGACCACTGAGTGAGGAAGGTATGACGAGCGCTGCAAGGAGCACACTTTACACTGCCTGCAGTAAGACAGCTCAGAAAGCGGCTTTGACAAGCCAAAGAGAGAGCAGAAGCAGCGCTCACCTGAACAGGTCTGTGCACATTCAGATAGTGCAACAGTGGATGCTGCACCTGTCCCAGGACTCTGCTGAAGAAGAGGAACACCTGCTGCCTCATGCCTGGAGGATACTGAGAGCAAAGGAGAGAGAGCGAAGTAAATTGGCAGTTAAGTAATATTCCCCTTCAGTGCCACAGGAAACATGATACAAAGTGTCTGAGCCAATCGGTATGTCACAGATAGATAGTGAATGTATGTAACATGGCAGAGGTAAGAGCTGCAAACATCTAGCCATACGCACCCTATATACTGCAGCTAGTGCAGAAGGCTAAAACGCCACAAGGGTTTTCAAGTTTACATGGGCAGGGAAATTCCAAGAACAGAGGGTTTTGAAGCTCTTGGAGAACAAGATTCAGTTTATTATTGATTTTATCATCAGATAATCTGGTAAGGCTACACTGTCCCTGCTTCAGGCAACCATCAAGAAAGCGTGTGAGATACAAACTGGAGCCCAGCTGAACTGTGAGAACATTAAAGGGAATGCTCTGGGATAATGTTAAGACAAACACCAAGGTTTTGTTTACAAATAGCTTTTCCCAAATGCAGTGTGAATACACGTTTTCACAACCCAAATGTAAGCGAAAACTGGTTTGGTTTAGGAAGTAAATATTTCCCTGCAGCACTGGTAAAACAATCATTTGAGCATTGAAAAACTGACTAGAAACAGCAGTGAAATTGACCAGACTTATATCACTATCCCAGCTCCGCACAATGCATAAAAATACCCTAACAGCAGAAATAAATAATGCTTTGCCCTTCTAATGTACCTTTTAAGGCCCTCACAGTGCTTCACAAACATTAATTAATTCTCTCGGTAAGTATTTATATTGCTTAATGAACTTCACTTTAATAAATTAAGCTTCTCAGCTGCCCTGTGGTGAAAAAAATCAATTAGATTATTTTTCCATTTTCAAAAGGTTTGTTATTCATAAGTCCTATAACATGATGAAATGGAAAAAAAACAAGCAAGGATGAATCATAGTAGAGATAAAGGGTAGACAGTACTGAATGCAACTGATTTTTATAAACACACAATAAAGACTAATATTTCCAGTTACTGTTTCCTTGTTTTTGTGTTAGGGGAAAAAAAAAAAGACTATTTATAGCACAATAAGCCAAGTTATTATTAGTAACACAGGCTAGTATGGTTATAATTTTTAGCTTTTGATATTTACTCTGATAAAGTCCTTTTAAAAACACTTCTTTCCTGCAAATCAAAGGATTGATCCTGCAACCCTCAATCATGGAGTCAATGAGACTACTCACCTGAGTAAACACTGCTCACATCAGCAAAGGTTGTAGTATATGGGGAAAATTTTCGAAATTGCCTAAGTGGTTTAGGAGCCCAAGTCCCATTTCCAAAAGTGATTCAGGTGCTTAGGAGCCTATGAGTATGTCTACATTACAAGTGCTGCAGCTATGCCACTGTCGCGCTGTAGTGTAGACACCTGCTACAGTGACAGAAGCACAGCAGTAAATCCAACCCCTCAAGAGGTAGTAGCTAGATGATCAGAAAAATTCTTCAACCTAGTGGTGTCTTACCTACGTCTTACCTGGGGTGTGAATTTTTCACACTGCTGAGCGATGTAGCAAGGTTGACTTAAGTTTTAGATGTAGACCAAGCCTTAGGTTAGATCTTCACTAGAATCACTGCAGCTGAGCCGCAGTAGCACTTCAGTGTGGACATTGACTACAGCAATGAGATGGGTTCTCCCACCCCTGTAGTTAATCCACCTCCCTGAGAGGCAGTAGCTAGGTCAATGGAAAAATTCTTCTGTCAACCTAGTGCTGTCCACTCCGGGGGTTAACTACATCACTCAAGGGTGTGGATTTTTCACACCCTGAGCGACGTTGCTGGGTCAACCTAACTTTTTAGTGTAGACCTGGCCTGAGTCTCGCTGAAAGTCAATGGGATTTAGGCTCTTAAGGTGCTGTCTAGCCTAGAATTTGAAAGGTGTTATCTAACATGTATTAACCATGTAGTGTAGACAAGGCCATGTGCCTAATAGGCTGCTTACACCTTCCAAGTCCTAGTCTAGCCTAAGTGGCTTCTGAAACTGGGACCTCAGACTCCTAATCACGGATGTGCTTTGAAAAATGTTATCCTGGTCTCAGTTCCTTAAAATTATACTTCTTTGCTGTGAACAAGTCAGACTTTATAGTCACTGAAATCAACAGTTCCACCACTAGGACAATGAATGGTGTTTGTCTTGGGCAGGGGTGGGCAAACTTTTTGGCCTGAGGGCCGTATCGGGTTTCGTAAATTGTATGGAGTGCCGGTTAGGGGAGTGGGTCGTGGCCCGGACCCCACCTCCTATCTGCCCCCCGCGCCCCCGGGACTCCTGCCCCATCTAACCCACCCCGTTCCCTGATTGCCCCTCTGGGACCCCTGCCCCATCCACACACCTCCTCTCCCTGTCCCCTGACTACCCCCGACCCCCGCCTCCCCATCCAATCCCTCCTCTCATTCCTGACGGCCCCCCCGGGACCCCTGCCCCATCCAACCACCCCTTCTCCCTGTCCCGACTGCCCCCTGCCACCCCATCCAATTCCCCCTCCTTCCTGACTCCCCCCCGGGACCCCTGCCCCCATTCATCCCCATTTCCCCCCCAGACCATCATCCATACCCCCGCCCCCTGACCACCACCCCGAACTTCCCTGCCCTCTATCCACTCCTCCTGCTCCCTCCCCCCTTACCGCACAGCCGGGCCACGCTGCCACCACCACCACGCAGCACAGAGCACCGGGTCAGGCCGGGCTCTGTAGCTGCGCTGCCCCAGGTGCTAACTGCCCCGCCGCCCAGAGTGTTGTGCCGATGGCGGAGCGAGCGACCTGAGGCTGCGGGGGAGGGGGAACAGTAGGGGAGGAGCCGGGGGCGAGCCTCCCAGGCCAGGGGCTCGGGCAGGACGGTCCCGCGGGCCGTAGTTTGCCCATCCCTGGTCTTGGACTTGTGCATGGCTAACTTGGTGAGTAACACGGTGTACACACCTCTGCTTTCCCCAAAGTGCTGAGGGTCTCCAAGATTTTGTGCTGCAGCAGGTATTCCAAACAAGGCCCTGTCTCCCCTGCTGGATGCTGCTTCTCCTCATACACCAGAATGTCCAGCATCTGTTTCAGGCGCCAGGGGATATCGGTCTCCTTAACGGGGGTGTTTTCATCTAAAAAGAAGGAATATATAAATCCCAATCAAAACACGCTACATGCTGGGTAAAACAGGCATTAAGGCTTTAGCTCCATTCGACTATCAAACTTATACAGGCCAAAGCATCTTCATATACACCCCCCCGTAACTCTGAGATGGAACATGGCAGCTCTTTTAATAGTGCACAGCATATCCTGGGACCAACACGGTTACAACAACACAGCAATGATATAGTAGTTTGGGACAGGAAGTGAATAGCAAGCATATCCAACAGAAGCTGTAAGGGGAAGTAGTCAGAATGTAATTACCCAAAAAGCAATTTAGTCAAGACCCTGGAGCCAACACCCTTACACTTGTAAAAACATCATGGGATTGTCACAAGTGGCCAGGACTTCAGTTTTATTTCTCAGCTGGAAACCAGCACCTCTGTGCTGGGGAACTGGTTTGGTATTGTGTCAGAGTGAAGTCAACGGAGCTCCACGTTAGCGCAGGGATATGCCCAAGCAGATCAGCTTGCGGGATTAGGGCCATAGCTCATGAGAGCTGATGAGATCAGAGCCTGGGGCAGCACAGTCACAGGCCTTACACTAACCAAGACCCAAATGAAACAAACCCTAAGAAAAAAATCAGGCAAAGCCAATGCTTTATTCATAATTCCTACTGCAGGCATCAGGACACAGGGCACTGTTCCACACCACACAGGAGTGACCTTTTAGAAAGATTTTCTCTTCATTCTAAGACACAGTGAAAGACTCCAAAATGGTGAATTTAAAACCTTCCCCTCCCTGCAACAGAAAAACAAGTGGGTGTTTTCTTTTCAGGGACTGGTAGAACCCAGAGGAAGTTAACAAAAACAAAATTTTAAAAAATCATCATGCCTCTCAATCGGAGATCTTTTTTAAACTAAGTTTGAGCTTTGGGGGAACGTTAATAGGTATAAAACCACACACAACCCCCCCCCCCAAAAAAAACCCCAAACAACCAATTCATTTCATCCCAGACCTACGTATTTAAAAAAAAAATAATCAGAAAATTCTATTTTCCAGAGGTAACTTTAAAACATATATCCTCCCAACCTCTCCCCTTTGGCTTCCAAGCTGTAATTTTCACTTTGATATTTATCTCTGTAGCACCCCAAGCAACTAGGACGATGGTTTAAAAATTATTATCCCTATAACAGAGCCCTTGATGGACCATTAGCTATAGTGACACTAAGCAGCAATGTTATAATAGAACAACAACACTGACCTAGGCAAGAGCAAAGGTCAACGTTTCGCAAACTTGGAAGTCTAAGGTTAAGCTCATAAATCCATTTTTAGGTATTTAAATAAGGTTAGGGGCTTAAGGCCTTCTTACCACACCACAACTGTACCAGTATAACCGTGCCTCTAACTGTAAAGCAGTACAACTCCCTCTAGTGTGGATGCAGTTACACTGGTAGGGACTAAGCTATACTGGGATAAGCACTTTATACCAGTATAACTGTACGCACACTTAGGGCTGCAGCAGTATAGAATATCAGTTACAAAAAACACCTAGTACAAAATCTCTGTGTAAATCAGACCTAATTTAGTATCAAGAAGAAGAAATGTTGGCCATAGCATTTAGTGCAGGAGCAGGCCAGCCATTCTCAAAACGTTGAGAGAGCATCTCTGAGCAACAGAGACTGGTTATTATAAGGCTCTGGCCCCGGAGTATCAGATATCTACAAATGCCCGGGGACACGACCCCCCTGTGGTTCTTCTGGTGGGAAGAAGCAATGCCCGTGTGCCATACATAGAGTAGCGTGTACACATTTTAATGGTTGCAGGCAACATTTCTCCTGGCAGGGTTTTCATGGGCTATTCAGCAGGCCTTTCATTATCACTCACAGGAATGTCCTGCACTGACCGCAGGAAGAGGATGATGGAGGCATTAACATTTTGTTCTACTCTTGTGCCAAGGCTCTCAAAGCATTTTGTACACGTTAATGAATTAACCCCAACAAATGCCCAACTATGTCTGGTTGTCTCCCTTTTACAGCGAGGGAAGCTGAGTAAAAGGATTTCTCCAAAGTCTCACGGAGCATCAACTGGCAGAGCTGAGAAGACAACCCAGAAGTCCTAACTTGCAAAGTCCCCACCCTCCCCAGAGCTGGGAATAGAACCCAGGAGCCCGGACTCCCAGCCTCGCCCACCACCTACCTGTGGTCTCTAGGTAATAGTGAGTGAGCCCTTTCCAGTGCTCGGTGAATGCCTCCAGCAGGTCAATGCTGGGCTCTTGCTGCAGAGAGGAGGGTGCGGGCGTTAGTAGATAGCTAGAGCCCTTTGGGAAGGGCACTGTTCATATCCACCCACAGGCCCTACTCACAGGAGGGTCTCCCCCTTCTGACCCCCCCATCCCGGTAGCATCCTGCTCCTTTGGAACCCCTGTCCCAATAGACATGGGGGTTAGGAGAGGAGCCCCCAAAGCAGAGTGCCCTGGGGCCCCTCTCCTGACCCCTAACCCCATAACTCCTGGGACACCTCTCTGTCCCCCCTCCTCTCCCCAAGCCCCAATTCTCCCCCCGCCCCCCGCCAAGAGCACCAATCTCCTGAACCCAATAGCACCCTGGGGCCCATCCTGGGTACCCTGTAGGATGCCCTCCCCCAGCGCTAGTCCCCTGTGGGCCTCATCTCCTGACACCCAATGACACCCTTGGGGGCCCGACCCAGATCCTACATCTAGGTTCTTGGAAGACCCCCCAGTTCCCTGGACTGCCCCATCTCGGGACCCCAGTGACACCTGGGGGGGGGGGTCCATCCTGGGTGCCCACCCCAGTACCCTGGCCCCAGGAGTTAGCCCCCATCCCCTGACCCCAACGACACCGGGGGGGGAGATCAATCCTGGGCACCCCCCGACCCTGACCCCTGGAGGCGCCCCCCAGCCCCCTGGGAGCCGCCCCCCCAACCCTAACCCGGGAGACGCCCCCCAAGCCCCACTCCCCGTGCCCTGCTCTCCAGCCGACCCCCTGGGCCCCACCCCCGAGCACCCCGCTCCCTCGCGGAGCCGCCCCCGGCCGGGCCCTCACCGTCTCCACCGCCTGCTGCAGGAAGGCGCCCAGGCGGCTGAACATGGCGGCGCCGCCCGGCCCGCCGGGGGATCCCGGCCACCGACGGGGGGACCCGGCCCGAGCAGACGGAAACCCGGGTTCCACCCGGCGGCCTGTGCGGGAGGCCGGGGCGGGGCGGGGAGAAGAAAAGGGGGCGGGGGGAAGCTGGGAGGGAGTGAGGCGGGCGGGGCAGGTTCAAAACGGCAGGAGCTGGGGGAGGGGGTCAGGGGGCTATGGGGGAGGGAAGGGGTCAGGAGGGCATGGGGGATTTGGGGGTGGGGGTCGAGGGAGCTGGGGGAAGGAGTCAGGGGGGCTATGGGGGAGCTGGGGTAAGGGGTGTATGGAGGTTATGGGGGAGCTGGGGATCAGGGGGAGCTTGGGGAAGGGGCCAGGGCTGTATGGGGGAGCTGGGGGTGGGATCAGGGGTCAGGAGGGCATGGGGGATGTGGGGGAGCTGGGGGAGGGAGTCAGGAGGGCATAGGGTGACCCCCACCCCTTTATTTTAAGATGTACTGAAAATGCATTAAAACTGATAAGTACCATTTTAAACATTCAACGGTTGCTTGTGCCAATTGCATTGTATGCCAGAGGGCAGCAGAACTGTGCCCTTGAGAGAAAAAATCCACGGCTATGCTATGGGAAGTGGTGTTTCCCTAAAACATCCTTTAAAGTAAAGTGCTCTCTCTTGTTTTCCGTGTGGTTTCCCCTTATTTCCATCCAGCAGTGGATGTCTTATTTTTAAACTTGAAGAGATGGTGGGGTGGGGTAGGAGAACTGGGGATCCAGCCGTTTCATGCACCAGCTTTTTTCACCTCACCTGGATTTTAATCTCACTCTGGGTCAGAACCAAAATGTCCGTTGAACTTCAGCCGTGTTCCTAATCAATATTTCCCAATCACAAAATCACGGCACAAACCTGACTAAAGGAAACCCCTCCAAGCATCATGCATTTTACAAGATAAAAGGTGGGGTTTGAAACATTTATTTGACATGACAGTTTGTTAAAAACAACCCAAAACCCCAGCAAAAAACAAACAAAAAAGACATCCCCCCCGCATCTAACCCTCACATCTTTCTGAATTAATGAGTTACACAAAGGATCTTTAAAGGCACACTGTCAACTTAACATTTCCTCTCCCCCCCCCTTTCAATTTGGCAAAAGCATGTTTTTAAAAAACTCAAGAACATTAGAAAAAATATTTCTACAATTACAAAACAAAATCTGATGCAAACAGTTGCTTTTAAACAAATAACAGTTCCCCTGCAGTGTTTGCAACCTAAACATTGCAGCACCATGCAATGGAAATCAACAAAGTCTGTTTTGCTTTAGATTACGGTCAGGTTCTTATACCCGGATCCTGTAAGTTACTGATTCTGCATGAGCAAGCCCTTATGAAACCCACTGGGCACTGTGTGGTATGAGTTCCTCTCTGTGCTCCACTGAGGATGGGAATCTCTAATAGCCCAGCTGGAGTGACTCAGGCTTTTAGCTCTGGAGGTGTCATCTGTTTCAATCCCAGGTGTGTTGGGGTGGCTGTCACACTGGGCCAACTGCAGCCTTGTTGACGTCAATATGGCTCTCGGCAGGCCCAGGGGAAGGCAGCTCTGATTGCAGATCAGAACCAGACAATGAAAGTGACGAGAAATTGATTTCCGTTGTCCAAGTCTTGGCCGAAGAACATAAATAACAATATGTTCTCTATATTTTGAAAAATTCTTTTCATCGCCTAAGGTGTTATTTGTAACACAAGACACTAGTTTATTCACAACATATTACCTTGAAGCTGACTGAGTCCCTATAAAGATAAATACAATCAACGCTCCTGTGTTTACACTATTCTCAATGCAGTTACTCTCATGCCGCTTGCTGTAATGAAAGTTGTGTCCATGTCTCAGCCTTAAATATTCACTGGGCATCTGAGCTTTCAGGCTTGGGAGAGAGTTACTAACCAGACTTTGCCCTTGCTCTGGTGCTGATGGCAGCAGATCTCAGATTGCTTTATGAAGGTGGGTCAGTGTCATTAGGCCTGTTTGACTGAGGGAGAAGCTGAGGGACACAGAGGGGAAGAGACTTGCCCAAGGGCAAAACCCAGCCGTCTTGACTCCCTGCCTGTGCTCGATCCACTAAACCACAGTGGGCACCTACAGTCGTTCCACAGCTCATTGGACTCTGATGTTTCAAAAAGAAGTGAACTGCCCATCTCTAAATGGCTACAGAAATTGTTGTCTCCTCTTAGCAGAGCCTGTGACCACTTTAAAAGCAGCTCCCACACTTCTCGGTCCCCGCTCATGTTCCTTCCCTTTCAGTTCCAGCATGCGGGCTCCCAAGAACAGCTGGCCAGAGGCAGCGCAGCAGGGTAGCATGCACACCTCCTGGCAGCCTCCTCCTCCCGTTTAGACTCCTGGGTGTATGGCCAGCGTACCCAGTTAGAAGCACTCTTCTTCTGATTTCAGACATGCCCAGCTGCACAATGCATGTAATGTTATCAAAGAGCTGCATCATTCCATCCCTGCACCGTAAAACATCTGTGTCTATCTGGAAACCAAAAGTAGGGCTGACATCTCTATGGAGAAAGGTGTTTGCTAGGAAGAGGAGTGGAGGAGATCCATGAAAGACTTCAAAGGACTCAAGAACACCTGGCTAGGTAGCCCAGAGCATCCTCTTTGTATCTCCACTTTCTTTAGGGTCTAACACCATGGGAAGCTGTTGTTCACGTTTGCTCTCATCTTTCATCTCGTGTGTCAGGAGGCATTCAAGAGAACTGTCTTCTGAAGCACCAGCCTATGCAATTTGAAGCTGCAGGAAGGTTCCGTAAATAAAAACAAAGAAGCCATCTCGGCTCCACCTCTGTCACATCAACTGCAAGGAGGAGAGTGCTGGTGGCTAATGAGCTTGCAAGCCACTTTGGAATCGCTCCCTGGAAAATGGTACCAGATGGATATGCTGCTGTGAAGAGTCCGGACCCGGTAATGCTGGGGCGAGCCCTCCCCCACCCAGCCCGGTCCCTCTTTCCCCATTTCAGTGCCATTGCAGACAACCTATAAAAATCCAGTCAGTTTAAAAATAAAAATAAAAAAAAAAAAGAGTTATTGTAACATTGATAACTATGGTAAAAAAAAGGAGAGATTCAGAGTTTATTCTGCATGATCCACATGCAGCGTTAACGGTATATATATAGACGCACGGTCTGATATGTATATGTACAGTGCAATGTCTCCTGCCTTTGGGAACGCTCAGCGGGTGGAAGGGGCTGATTACATGGCAGACTTCATCTCCCATTCCTGAAAGAGACAGATGGAGAAAGGACAATTATTCCCATGTCCTGAGGGGGGAGGGGGTGCTAGGCGAGCCAGGCCTTTCCCCCCGCACCCAGCGTGACTCTCCCTAGCAGAGGGGATGCCCCTCAGTACCTTTCTCTTCTGCAGAACCTTCCCCTTTTCAATGATGACCACGGAGGGCGCTCGCCTCAGGGCGCTCTTGGTGGAGGTGGTGCGTTTCAGCAGAGGTGTTAGGAAGGAACCCTGCGTACAAGGGTAGAGAGAAGAGGGGTGGGGGTGGGAGCCCCCTTTTGCCCTTCTTTCCAACCTGTCTTGGGGGTTAGCTGCCTACCCTGCACGGCCTGTGAACAGAGGCTCTAGGGCAGTGGTTCGCAACCTGTGGCCCGTGAGCCGCTTGCGGCCCAATCAGCACAGAGCTGCAGCCCATGTGACATCCTCAGGGCCAAATAGGTTGAGAACCACTGCTCTAGGGCCATTCCAGCTCAGTCTCTAGTCAGACCTCTCCCCCTGTCTAGGGGCTCCCCTCCATATGGAATCACCTCCCCACCTTGTCTAAAGGCAAGAAAGAAGGACCTAAGCTAGACCTGACTTTCTCAAGGAACGGGAGAGACGCAGCAGAATAAGGAGAGGGAAAGAGGGAGAAGAGAAGTCGCTGGGTAAGGGATGGGAGAAGAGAAAGGCAGGAAGCCCTAGGACAGCCCCTGCTGGTTTCTAGCCCCCAACTGTTCTGTCTCATGGCTGCCCAGTGTCTGGCTCTCACCCATCCTGCTTCATCCTCCTTTACCTCGGAGCCTGCTGAGCTGGTGGCGGTGGCTATGTGGCCCTTCAGAGACTTGCCGATGGCTAGCAGGTTCATCTCCGAGCCGGCCTTCAGCCTGGTTTTCATCCGGCACGCCCTTTCCAGCTGCCCTACCTTCTCCTCCAGCTTGGGGAAGGCCCTCTTACCTGCAAGAAGGCAGATCGTGGAACCATGTGAACCCACGTGGCAAGCTGAAGGCCCAATCCTGCCACCCTGACTCACTCTGGGTTACAGCCATGCCCCGAGAGTCGCAGGACACCTGTCATAACCATACAGCTAAGGGTAGCATAAAATCCCTCCTTTACCTGTAAGGGGTTTTATTACCCTGTAAAATTACCTTCCATCCTGATTTTACAGAGGTGCTTCTTTTACCTTTTTCTTTATAATAAAGTTCTTTTTTTAAGAACCTGGCTGATTTTAGTGTCCTAAAGATGAAGGGTCTGGTCTGTACTTTTATTAAAGGCAGTTGGTTAGTATATTATTCTCAAGCCTCCCCAGGAAAGGGGGCGAAGGGGCTTGGGGGAATATTTTGGGGAAACAGAGACTCCAAGTGCCCTTTTCCCTGGATGTTTGTCTAAATCACTTGGTGGTGGCAGCAATACCGTCCAAGGACAAAGAAAGGATTTGTGCCTTGGGAAAGTTTTAATCTAAGCTGGTAGAAATAAGCTTAAGGGGTCTTTCATGCGGGTCCCCACATCTGTACCCCAGAGTTCAGAGTGGGGAGGTGTGACGAACTGGGACTGTTCTTATGTGGTCTTTAAATGCTGACAGGGGAGTGTGGCTAGGATAGTCTGCATTGGGGGATGGGAGACTGACCGAGGGAGAATACCTGAGCATGTAACATGAGAACCCAGGAAGGGGCTAGAGGCCAGGTGACACCTTTGCCCGGGAAACTGAACAAAGGCTGTGGGAGGGGTCGCTGAAGGCAGAGTTTCAGGAGCTGGCTGGGGAGCTGGCTGGGAGGCAAACGGGGCTCTGACCTCCCAAGGGGGCTGGGGCGCCCTGGGAGCCCAAGATGGACCTAACTGAGGGGGGTCCTGTTGTCTGTGCCTGCAAGACCTGTCTTGTACTGTATTCCTGTCGTCTAAATAAACCTTCTGCTTTACTGGCTGGCTGAGAGTCATGGTGAATCGCAGGAAGCCGGGGGTGCAGGACCTTGTGTCCCCCCACAATCCGTGACAACTGGTGGCAGTGGCGGGATCTGCTGCACCCCGTGGATGGCGCTTCCTGCAGTAAGTGACTGGGGAGCAGTAAAACGAAGGGTGATTGACTGGGACCAGGCGTGCTGAGAGAGACGGTTTCAGGGGGCGATTCACCCCTGGGAGTGTGTGACCAGCGAGAAGGACTTTTGCAGTAACAGGGTCCCCTGGGGGATCGCAGCGAGTGGTCCCAGGGGAGGAGGAGTCTGCAGCTCGACCCTGGCAGAGAGGTGGTGACCTCGAGAAGGGCTGGCACACTAGGGGTCTCCTTGGAAACTGGGGAGCGGTGAGCACACAGGCCTGTGAGTGGCCAGCAGGAAGATGTATGCCAAGCGGCTTAAGAGCGACCTGGTGGAGCTGTGCAAGCAGAGGGGACTGCACAGTGGGAGGCTCACCAAAGAACAGCTCATTGCCCAGCTGGAGGAGGGAGATCGCTCGAATGAACTGATCCCTGTCTCTGGGGGAAGCAGCCTGGCAGATGCAGCGCAGGCACCAGTGTCTGTCCCAGCTGGGAGTGGTCAGCCGGCTGCTGAGGGCTTCCCGAGACCCCTCCTTCCTATGCCTAGGGGAAGGGTGGGGAGGAGCCCAACAAATACCGAGGGCACCGTGACCCCCCCCGGCCAGCAGGGGATCCTCCCGGCGACACTCAGCATCCGTGGAGCGGAAGTGGCTAGAATGGGAGAAAGAGCTAAAACTGAGAGAGCTGGCAGATCGTGAACAACAGAGACAGCATGAACGGGAGGAGAAAGAGAAACAGAAGCAGCATGAAGAGAGACAGCATCAGCATGAACTGGAACTGGCGAGACTGAGGGGCAGCGAACCCCCGGCTCCCCAGTGAGTGAGGGGGGACCGAGGACTGCACGGAGCTTTGATAAGTGCATCCTGGCCCCACGTAAGGAGGGGGAGGACATGGATGACTTCCTGGATGCCTTTGAGACGGCCTGCGAGCTGCACCAGGTTGATCCTGCAGACAGACTCCGGGTTCTCACCCCCTTACTGGACCCCAAAGCCGTGGCATTGTACCGCCAACTGGAAGAGGCGGAGAAAGGGGACTACAAACTATTCAAAAAGGCCCTGCTACGTGAGTTTGGGCTGACTCCTGAGATGTACCGGGAAAGGTTCCGGAGTCAGGATAAAACCCCTGAGATCTCGTATCTGCAACTAGCCGTCCGCATGGAGGGATACGCCAGCAAGTGGGCAGATGGGGCCCAGACGAAGGAGGACCTGGTTAGACTGCTGGTACTGGAGCAACTGTATGAGCGGTGCCCATCCGACCTAAGGCTGTGGTTGAGGGACAAAAAACCAGAGAACCCGCGACATGCAGGCCGGCTGGCCGATGAGTTTGTAAAGAGCCAGTCAGGGGATAACAGGGAGGAGTCCCAAAGGAACAGTCCCACCACAACGCAGAGAGAGAGTCACCATGGGACCTCCCAGCGGGAAAATACGGAAAACCCCCATCAAAGGGGAACATCCGGCGTCAGGGCCATCCGACCCACTCGAGGGGACCCATGGGACATGGGCTGCTATCACTGTGGCCAAAGAGGCCACATACGGGCCCAGTGCATCAGGCTCAGGGACAGACTGAGCGGACCCAAGCCACAGAGGGTTGACTGGGTAGAGACCCAGTCGGACGAGAGGCAGCATTCCCAGGGAAGGGGGGCTGGCAGAGTACCACCTGCTAAGGAGGGAGGAGAGCTCCAGGCCAGCTCCTCTGGGGGGCTGGATGCTCCAGACTCAGGGTTTTTGGTTTATACGGTGGGCGCGGGGCTGTCCCTCCGGAGAGAGTACCTTGTTCCCCTGGAGGTGGATGGGAGGAAGGTCAATGGATACTGGGATACGGGCGCAGAGGTGACGCTGGCCGGGCCCGAGGTGGTGGCCACAGATCAGGTGGTGCCCAACACCTACCTGACCCTGACGGGGGTGGGCGGGACCCCAGTCAAAGTGCCCGTGGCGAGGGTACACCTGAAGTGGGGGGCCAAGGAGGGCCCCAAGGACGTGGGGGTACACCTGTATTTGCCCACTGAGGTGTTGATGGGGGGGGACCTGGAGGACTGGCCAAGCAACCCCCAGGGTGCCCTGGTTGTGACCCGGAGTCAGAGCCGGCGAGGGGCACTGCGCCCTGACCTTGGGGAGGGTGCCTTGCCCGAGGCGCAGGACCCTAACCTGATGGGGAGGGAACACCCAGGGACACGACTCAGGGAGGCTGCAGCTTCAGACCCAGCCGGCGAGAGAGAGCAGGTGGCCATCCCTGTCCCAGCTGCTGAGTTCCAGGCCGAGGTGCAGAAAGATCCCTCCTTGCGGAAGACAAGGGACCTGGCCGACCTCAGTGCGGTACAGACCATGGGAAGAGGTGGCCGGAAAAGGTTCCTGTGGGAGAAGGGGTTCCTGTACCGAGAATGGGCTCCCCCAGGGAAAATGGAGTCGGGGGGATCAGGAGGCAGCTGGTGGTACCCCAGAAGTATCGCCGCCAGCTGCTGTACCGGGCCCATGACATTCCCCTCTCAGGGCACCAGGGAACCTGGTGTACCCAGCAGAGGCTGCTACGGAGCTTTTACTGGCCTGGGGTCTTTGTTACTGTCCGACAGTACTGCCGATCCTGTGACCCGTGTCAAAGGGGAAGGAAGGCCCAGGACAAGGGGAAAATGGCTTTAGGACCCTTGCCCAGCATAGAGGAGCCTTTCCGGAGGGTGGCCAAGGTTAAAAGGGGGGCTCTGAACCAAAAGAGCCCGAATCACAGACCTCCAGACTGGAACGCTGGGAGAAGACCACAGCCCAGTTGGAACCCCAGGGGTATTGGGGTGGGAAAAGGGCACAGGCCGCATAAACCTTCCCATATGCGAACTACGAGTGCCATCGAGCACACCTGACCTAAGGAGGCGTGAAACTGGAGGGGCCTGGTGTAATTCTCACCAAGGAATGGGAGGGATGTTGGAGCATCCATGGGAACGTGGGTAGGTTCGAACTTCCCCAGGTCATTGGCTAAAGTGACCCCGCTCAGTTCGGTCTCGAAGGGGGGAGAGATGTGACGAACTGGGACTGTTCTTATGTGGTCTTTAAATGCTGACAGGGGAGTGTGGCTAGGATAGTCTGCATTGGGGGATGGGAGACTGACCGAGGGAGAATACCTGAGCATGTAACATGAGAACCCAGGAAGGGGTTAGAGGCCAGGTGACACCTTTGCTGGGGAAACTGAACAAAGGCTGTGGGAGGGGTCGCTGAAGGCAGAGTTTCAGGAGCTGGCTGGGGAGCTGGCTGGGAGGCAAACGGGGCTCTGACCTCCCAAGGGGGCTGGGGCGCCCTGGGAGCCCAAGATGGACCTAACCGAGGGGGGTCCTGTTGTCTGTGCCTGCAAGACCTGTCTTGGACTGTATTCCTGTCGTCTAAATAAACCTTCTGCTTTACTGGCTGGCTGAGAGTCATGGTGAATCGCAGGAAGCCGGGGGTGCAGGACCTTGTGTCCCCCCACAATCCATGACAGGAGGGAACCTTGACAACAACCATGGCTCAACCCTCCCAGCCCTCTCCTGCACTGGGTAAGTCTTGCCGACCCCTGGCACAGGGGCAGGGGGTCAGCAACCTGCCTGAGGCTGTGCAGCGATCGTACCAATTAAGAAATCCAAGCTGTCTGGGGCGCCCTTCCTCTCGGGCTGCATCAGCGTCCGCTGAGACTGGAAAAAATCCCGGTTTTTCAGCTCCGGGGCCACTTCTACCCACTGCTCATTCGGAGACTTGCCCGGGCTGGCTGGAGGAGCAGCTGGAAGAGCATGGGAGAGAAAGGGGTCAAAGGCTGTGTGACCGTGAGCACTCAGAAAGGGATTCCCCCTCAAGGCATGCTGAACCAACCTAGAGACGGAGCTGCTCTGTGCCTGGGTCCAGGGGAATCCTGGACATGCCTAGGGCCAAGGGGGAGGAGCTGTTCTGTAACAGGCAGTGAGAAGCAGAGGGGCACTCCTCTACACATGTGCCACCCTGAGACCCACTGGAGCCAGCCCGTCCCAGGGAGGCAGCAATACCCTCTCAGCATGTGCCGTGGCAGACGTGGGAGCCGAGCAGTGCTGGGACACTGCCTCTTACCGAGATGGGGCCACGCTCGGCTTCTGTCGGACACAGAGTCTGCCCCCGGTGCAGCCATGTCCCTGCTGCGCTGGGAGAGGGAGCCTCCCTCACCTGTCTCCTCCGGAGCCCTGCTCTGGGGGTTGCTGAAGGCATTGTCGGGAAGGGCACACGGGAGTCTCTGCGTCTGGTCTTGGGCGGCTCTGTCCAAGCTCTGCTGCTGCAAAGAGACGCCAGTGAGGAGCCTGTGGACGAGCTGGCCAGACGCGCCAACCCAGATCCCCATGGGGGCAGCCAGAGCCGGCTCCAGGCACTAGCTTGTCAAGCAGGTGCTTGGGGCGGCCGCTCCGGAGAGGGGCAGCACGTCCAGATATTCAGCGACAATTCGGCGGACGGTCCCTCACTCTGCCTCGGAGCGAAGGACCTCCCGCCGAATTGCCGCCGCAGATCGCGATCGCGGCTTTTTTTTTTTTTTTGTGGCTGCTTGGGGCAGCCAAAACCCTGGAGCCGGCCCTGGGGGCAGCTCAGCCCATGGAGTTTCGCCAAGCTCCGCCGGCCAAGGGGCTGGCCCGCTCGCTAGAAACGCCTACAGATGCCGGACTACATGGAGGTTACCAGCTGGTGCAGTATATCCGAGTTGGAGTAGACGGGGCTGGGGTGTGTCGCTGGCGGGAGCTGCCCAAAGGGGTCATCCATGTAGGTGTTGGGGGTCGGGAATCTCCGCAAGAGCAGGCCCCTGCAGGCAGAGCAGAGAGGAAGCCCTGTGACCCTGGGCAGCCATCGGGGGTGGGGATTTTCCTTGCTTAGCACCTGGGGCCCATGAGTGCTTCGAACTGGACGCAGCAGGGCCTGATGAGTGCTGCCTGGCTGCCCTATGCATCTGAGCGGTAACACCAGGGGTCTGGACACAACACGGGTTGTCCCCAACATGGCTAGCACATGCTTCGGTCATGCACTAGTTCTGTAACTGGGTCCCCATGGCAGTGCCAGATGCAGAAGCAGCCAGGATTCTGGGCCCTGGGGCCCTGTCCCAGGAAAGGAGAGAGAGGAGAAAGAGAGATCACTTGATCGTTACCTGTTAGGCACCTGGCATTGGCCACTGTCGGCAGACAGGATACTGGGCTGGATGGACCTTTGGTCTGACCAGTATGGCCGCTCTTATGTTCTTAAGGCACCCATGGGCAGCCAGGTCCCCTGCCTTAGCCAAGGGGGAAGGAGAATGGAAAGAAGGCTGAAGGAGGGAGGAAGCTGGGACAACCTGAAGATAGGGAACAGGGGGAGCTGCTCTGAAGAGGCACAGGGGTGCTGCGGGCTCCTTACCCCACAGGGGCAGAGCTGGGTCCATCTCCAGGGACTGAGGTTTCATACACAGAGGCTGATTCCGCTCCCTTCTCCACCTGCAGGATCTTCAGCCAGACGTCCCTCTCTTCGTCCGAGTGGGTCTGCACCAGAGAAGGGGACAGGTTGGGCCAGAACCATTAGGGAGGCGCCACGGAGATGCCCTCCTCTGGGGAATGGCATCGGCTCGGCAGCCAGAAGGGCAGGAAAACGACCAGGCGTGACCGGGCAGAGCAGAGGGCCGGGGAGAATCAGGCCGGTTCTTTGCTGCATCTCTCCATGCACAGCACAATCGGCGCGGAGTGCAGCTCCCACGTCTGCGTGACCACAGCACCATCTGGAGCTCCAGGAAGGGAGGGGCAGATCCAGTTCCTACCATCCGTGGGATGCTGCCAGTGAGAGCTGCCCCCCTACCACCAGGCTAATGGTCTCTCTGCTACAGCTTGGCTGCGGGCCACGCCAGCACCATACGGGTTAGCACAGCTGCACCACGCACCTGCAGGATGGCGACCTCTCTGCCTTGCTGGCTGATGTGGATGTGATGGCGTCGGCCCACGTCGGCCCCCGGAGTCACATTGCTGCCCGCCAGCGGCACAGCGTACTCGGGGCTCTCAGTGCAGCTGGGGTCTCTGAACATCCGTAGGGTGCCCTGCTCCACCCTGCACCACAGCTTCTGCCACTGGCCGTTCAGCAGCACGTCCAGGAAACCTGCAGAGCGCCCCCAAGGCCTCTCGTTAGGAGACGCGCCTCCGCTGCCTCCTCTGCCATCGGGGAGAGGGCTCGGCACTGACCCACCCAGCACAAACTGCAGCTGATGCCTCCGCGGGCTGTGGGAAAGGAGCTCAGGAAAGCCTGGGGTGAGAGCACGGGCTCTGTGTGCAGTTACCCCCACAGCTCTGCCAATGCACCCAGCACCCCGGCTGTTCCACTCCTGGGTCACTTCCCCACCACCAGCCCTTAGAATCGTAGAATATCAGGGTTGGAAGGGACCTCAGGAGGTCATCTAGTCCAACCCCCTGCTCAAAGCAGGACCAATCCCCTGACAGATTTTTGCCCCGATCCCTAAAATGGCCTCCTCAAGGACTGAACTCACAACCCTAAGTTTAGCAGGCCAATGCTCAAACCACTGAGCTATCCCTCCCCCCTTCCGCCAATGCACCCAGAACCCCAGCTGTTCCAGCCCTGGGTCACCTCCCCATCTGCACCAATGCACCCAGCACTCCAGGCTGTTCCAGCCCTGGGTCACCTCCCCACCTCCACCAATGCACCCAGCACCCTGGGCTGTTCCAGCCCTGGGTCCCGCAGACAGGATGGCTGGGGTAATTGATGCTGCACAGAGTGGTCAGGCTGGGCCATACCGCACCTCCCTTCTTTGGCTCTCCAGTTGGGATGCAGCCGGCTGCAGCTGGGCTGACAGGGGAGTTCTCCTCATCTGAGTCAGAGCCAAGCTGGGAACCTCTCACCTAAGAGAGACCACAGACAATGATCACTGAGGCGAGGGGAATGGATAAGCAGAGGGAATTTCAGGCTGAATATCAGAGATTTCCCCATGGGCAGACCCAGGAGATGGGGGGCAGCTCCCCAGGGAGGAGGAAGTCCCATCACATGGGACCATTCAAATGGCACGACATGCCATAGGGAACAACCCTGTACTGTCTGGTCTCACAAGGGCATCTCCCTCCCTCAAATTTCATGGGTCAGGCTATGCCCTCGGGCACGCTCCCCGAGCTATGGGCACGTCCCAGGGCAGAGTCCCTCCTCAAGGTTTACAACATTCCTGTGGGCAGCAGCAAGCAGGACTTGTTGTGGAAGGAGCTGCTCAGGACAGGATGGGATAGCAGGGACTGGGGGTCAGGATTCATAGATTCAAGGACTGGAAGGGACCTCGAGAGGTCATCGAGTCCGGTCCCCTGCCCTCATGGCAGGACCAAATACTGTCTAGACCATCCCCGATAGACATTTATCTAACCTACTCTTAAATATCTCCAGAGATGGAGATTCCACAACCTCCCTAGGCAATTTATTCCAGTGTTTAACCACCCTGACAGTTAGAAACTTTTTCCTAATGTCCAACCTAAACCTCCCTTGCTGCAGTTTAAGCCCATTGCTTCTTGTTCTATCCTTAGAGGCTAAGGTGAACAAGTTTTCTCCCTCCTCCTTATGACACCCTTTTAGATACCTGAAAACTGCTATCATGTCCCCTCTCAGTCTTCTCTTTTCCAAACTAAACAAACCCAATTCTTTCAGCCTTCCTTCATAGGTCATGTTCTCAAGACCTTTAATCATTCTTGTTGCTCTTCTCTGGACCCTTTCCAATTTCTCCACATCTTTCTTGAAATGCGGTGCCCAGAACTGGACACAATACTCCAGTTGAGGCCTAAGCAGTGCAGAGTAGAGCGGAAGAATGACTTCTCGTGTCTTGCTCACAACACACCTGTTAATACATCCCAGAATCACGTTTGCTTTTTTTGCAACAGCATCACACTGTTGACTCATATTTAGCTTGTGGTCCACTATAACCCCTAGATCCCTTTCTGCCGTACTCCTTCCTAGACAGTCTCTTCCCATTCTGTATGTGTGAAACTGATTGTTCCTTCCTAAGTGGAGCACTTTGCATTTGTCTTTGTTAATCTTCATCCTGTTTACCTCAGACCATTTCTCCAATTTGTCCAGATCATTTTAAATTATGACCCTGTCCTCCAAAGCAGTTGCAATCCTTCCCAGTTTGGTATCATCTGCAAACTTAATAAGCGTACTTTCTATGCCAATATCTAAGTCGTTAATGAAGATATTGAACAGAGCCGGTCCCAAAACAGATCCCTGCGGAACCCCACTTGTTATGCCTTTCCAGCAGGATTGGGAACCATTAACAACAACGCTCTGAGTATGGTTATCCAGCCAGTTATGCACCCACCTTATAGTAGCCCCATCTAAATTGTATTTGCCTAGTTTATTGATAAGAATATCATGCGAGACCATATCAAATGCCTTACTAAAGTCTAGGTATACCACATCCACAGCTTCTCCCTTATCCACAAGGCTCGTTATCCTATCAAAGAAAGCTATCAGATTGGTTTGACACGATTTGTTCTTTCCAAATCCATGCTGGCTATTCACTATCACCTTACCACCTTCCAAGTGTTTGCAGATGATTTCCTTAATTACTTGCTCCATTATCTTCCCTGGCACAGAAGTTAAACTAACTGGTCTGTAATTTCCTGAGTTGTTTTTATTTCCCTTTTTATAGATGGGCACTATATTTGCCCTTTTCCAGTCTTCTGGAATCTCTCCCGTCTCCCATGATTTTCCAAAGATAATAGCTAGAGGCTCAGATACCTCCTCTAGCAGCTCCTTGAGTATTTTAGGATGCATTTCATCAGGCCCTGGTGACTTGCAGGCATCTAACTTTTCTAAGTGATTTTTAACTTGTTCTTTTTTTATTTTATCCGCTAAACCTACCCCCTTCCCATTAGCATTCACTAGGTTAGGCATTCCTTCAGACTTCTCGGTGAAGACCGAAACAAAGAAGTCATTAAGCATCTCTGCCATTTCCAAGTTTCCTGTTACTGTTTCTCCCTCTTCACTGAGCAATGGGCCTACCCTGTCTTTGGTCTTCCTCTTGTTTCTAATGTATTGATAAAAAGTCTTCTTGTTTCCCTTTATTCCCATAGCCAGTTTGAGCTCATTTTGTGCCTTTGCCTTTCTAATCTTGCCCCTGCATTCCTGTGCTGTTTGCCTATATTCATCCTTTGTAATCTGTCCTAGTTTCCATTTTTTATATGACTCCTTTTTATTTTTTAGATCATGCAAGATCTCGTGGTTAAGCCAAGGTGGTCTTTTGCCACATTTTCTATCTTTCCTAACCAGCAGAATAGCTTGCTTTTGGGCCCTTAATAGTGTCCCTTTGAAAAACTGCCAACTCTCCTCAGTTGGTTTTTCCCCTCAGTCTTGATTCCCATGGGACCTTACCTATCAGCTCTCTGAGCTTACCAAAATCTGCCTTCCTGAAATCCATTGTCTCTATTTTGCTGTACTCCCTTCTACCCTTCCTTAGAATTTCAAACTCTATGATTTCATGATCACTTTCACCCAAGCTGCCTTCTACTTTCAAATTCTCAATGAGTTCCTCCCTATTTGTTATTCCTGGGTTCTATTCCCTTCTCTGCCACTGACACACTGCGTGACCTTGGTTAAGTCACTCCCTGTGCCTTGGTTTCCCTGCTGGAACACAGGAACAACGATGCTAACTTGGGTGGGGAGAGGGGTGTGAGAGCACTCCAGGATCCCTGGTAGCAGGGGCTAGAGATGGCTAAGGAACCTACTCACCTGGGGTGAGTTCCTGCCCTGCTCTGAGCTGGGCAATACTGGAGAGCTGTGGGCAGAAGGCCTGCTGAGAGGAGAGCTGCTCACCTCCTCAATCACCTGCAAGAAAGGGACAGCGTTACAGCCATGGAAGGGGCAGCTGGGGGTCCCAGCCCCCCAGGCACAGCGGGAGCCCAGCCCCCTCACAGCAGAGTCATTTCCAAGGCAGGGAATGCGCTGCTGGGAGGGTCAGAGCCCCCATGGCTCCTGCAAACCCCTCTTTAATGCAAACTCCTTGTGGAACCCTGTGTGGGGACATACTGCAGCTTGGCAAGAAAGGGCACTGGCTCGCCCCAGAGACAGCAACCTCCCCACGGCTCTGTGAGGTTTCCGGGACCAATTGTCAGCACCCAGCTTGGCCTGCAGGGGGAGCCAGGCCATAACTTATCTGCCAAGCCCTAGCTGACAGGACGGTGCCCATCCCCACTTGCAGAGGGGAGTGGGCAGCGCAGGGTCCTGACAGGACGGTGCCCGTCCCGTCCCGCAGAGGGGAGTGGGCAGCGCAGGGCCCTGA